TTCATTCAGTCTACCAGCTTATTCTATCACAGATGATAAAATTTCTAGTTTCATAGAATCGAGTTTGACTACATTTTTAACTGTGTATAGTTAAATTTTTATATATTTGATTGTTTTTTCTTCTTGACACAGACCTAATTCTACTAACATCTATCATTATGTGGCCAGCAGGATGGGATTCAGTTACAATTCGTGAAGTTTGTGGTGGCAGTGTTGGACCTTATTCAAAAGGGAACTGTTCCATAGGTAAGTCTAGTTTAGTTCAATAAAATAAACATTTTTCTAAAAGAAAGTTAATTTAATTATCAGCCATGCATTGTATTAAGATATAAAAGATCAATGATTCAGTTGTGAATGATTCCACTTGACTTTCACATTTGAATATCTATGATAAACGTTTATAATAATAGCTTCTTTTATAAATTAATGAATTCAGCTTAGAGGGATGCAGTGAGAGTTCACAATAACTTTTTCCAAGTGATATGATTCATTTGAATCTAAAATGTCAACTGGTTACACTGCACCAGATGTTTCGAAAAACGTTTTCATGGATATTGGAATTTACTTCACACGTAATTTTTCTTGTTAGTGAGTAGGAAATAAGGTAGACATATTTACATCTAAGGATTAATTGCACAGCTAAATTTCATTGGTTCAAAGTTAATATTTCTGAAAAGTTAGTTGATTTGAAGCAGCTAGAAACCAAACTTTTTCATCCTAGTTTGAGATTCTTCAGAAATCTATACTCATTACCTTTACATAAGACCATGTCCAACATCTTTAGGTCCTAAAATTATCATTATGAAATCCAACTAATTTGTATCAATCCAATGAACCATATTATACAACCTTATCTTATTTATGATAAAGTGTGACTTATTCGATATGACAGCATTTAGCTAACAAAGTGGAAATATTTGACTTAAAAGACACCCAAACGGTAATAAAAAACTTAACTGGTTATTAACTAGTCAGTTTTTCTGACAGTATTGAGTAAAAACTATGAGCACGTAGAGTGGTAAATCATATTCGTAAGAATACTATATTGTACACAGAATACACAACATTCATAATTCAGTGGCGTAGTAACACGGAAACACTAGATAACCAAATATGACTAAACATATGCTCTCTCTCTATTCCTTTTTCATCTTCACAGGTTGGGCGCCACTGGCTTCAATTTGTGGAATAATTCTTCTGTTAATCAGTGCTATATTATCTATAGCAGTTGACAAATCAATCACTACACAGACAGCAACTAGACAGATACTAATGAACGAGAAATCTTGTGTTTTTCTACATTAGGGAATATTAAATTTTATGTGTGTATTTGACAGATATACAAACAGAAGAAAAAAACATTTATTTACCGATCACTAGCAAATAGATGTCTTTATCTAACATAGAGGATACATAAATACATATATGATTACATATTTATTATATATGTGTATACCATGATGTATAACGAAACATTCCGCAATTATTTTAATGTTCAGAAAAATCCTATCTTAAGTTCCAAAATAAAATGAATAGTGAATTACATTACTAACGCGTTCTTTTTTTCAATCCCTACAGATAAAGTTAATCTGTTAGTTTATTATATCATTTGAGTTAAATGAATCTTGAGTAAAGTCATTTGGTATTAGCATGCATAAACGAATGAGTTAGTCCATGTTAATAGTATTTCAACAAATATGTATATATTTGTGTTATTATTTATTTGAACACATAAATATTGGTACAGGAAGGCACCAAATATATATGCGCCACACAAAACAATGAGAATTCGAAGAGAAAAAAAGAACACTAAAGAATAGATTAGTGTAAGGTAGTATAATAATAATAATAATAATAATAACAATAATAATAATAATAATAATAATAATAATAATGGGGGAAACCGAAAGGTACAATCAGAAGAAATCTTCCAGTTAAGGAAGACACAACCATTTTTTTATGAAGAAAGTAAAAGAAGGTTACAGCAGGATCGCCACGAGCTCCTATTCTGAGTCATATCAGATAACATCTCTAGCCACTGTGTTGCACCATCTCTCAGACCCCAGCCAAGGAGCCGTGAAGGACCAACATAAGCCAGTCCTTTGTAGCTTTCTTTCATACCATGACACCATGTCATACACTGACCACCTCTCCGCTTCTTCCAACCAGTCCCAGAGTCGACAAATAACGCACGACGTGGGATTCTCTGTGACGACATTCGTAGAACATGTCCAAGCCACCTAAGTTGGTGTTTCGAGATGGTGACGCTAATTGCATTATAGTCTCTGCGTCCGAACACACGATGCCCAACCTCTGCATTACTGACATGGTGTTGCCACTGGACGTCAGCAATCCTTCGGAGACAGAGATGATCAAACACAGAGTCGTCTAACATCTTCAACTCGGAAAGGCCACGCTTCACAAGTATAGAGCAGAACTGTTCTCACCGACGCGTTGTAGATCCGGCCTTTTACAGCCAGACTAACATCACGAAGGCGCCAAAGATGGCCCAGATTGGCATAAGCCGCTCTGGCTTTCACTATTCGTGCATTGATCTCATCACTCACACCCCCACCAGCACTTATGCAGCTACCTAGAGACAGAATAAAACGACAATACTTACGGAAAATACTATACTTGCTTCGATTAACAGTCAAACGATATATTTGTGTACTAGTTTGTGAAACACACTTGTCTTATGTAAATTGTTTATAATAACTTATTGTCCCAACGTGTCTTTCTAAGTAAACTGAGTTCGAGTCTATATCTCATTAGTTAGAAACGAAGTTTTTAAATTAGCAAGTATATAATTCAAAATTCTGATTCATATTTTAAATGAAACGGTAAAAATTCAGAAGTAAAATCTTTATTGAGTATATTTATAATCTGTTATTCATGTACTTTCGAGAGTAGAACAAACAATGAACATGAGTGAATCCAATTTATACAAATAAAGTTTCTCTAGTAATTTCAAGTATATTAATAATCCTAAGTAACTGTTTTTATTAACATGTATACAGTTGTGGGGAAAGTAATGAAATACAATGAATTCATTATTTCTTGTTGTTTCTGGGACAGTCGACACAAATCATTAAATGTAAGTGGTATTTTTGTTAAATATTAATTCTTCTGTCCCACGGTGTTATCTACAGATAATCTGTTGCACAGTGAAAGATAAGGTCCCTGGTGGGGATGTAGTCTTTATATTCGTTGTCGATTAATGTATTGTCGGTACAAATCCGTTTCTATTAATTCTCTCAGTTAAATGATTGTTATTCTTAAGTTTGTAATCGGAATCAATATGGATGATAACTCCAAACATCTCTTACGTATTTGCATAACTTCATTAAACCAAAAAAAACAATTTTCCATTTCTCTCTGGTTTTTATTGGTTATTTAGTTGATTTTAGTTTCTGACGGGAAAAAGTTTAACCAATTTATCACGTTTTGATCGTTTGTTCACATATATGAACGTAAATCACCAAACAGTACACAAATAATACTTTACAACTTATGAGTGGTACATGTTACGTTTATCATTCTTTAGAATCTTATTTTCAGTAGGATCAAAATGTAAAATAATAGTACAACAGTGGCAGAACTAATTATATACATTGAGCTCCTGGAAAAAAGAATTGTTTAAGAAATCAAACGGTGACTTAGCTCTACCACATGCATCATGCACATTTGGTGACATCTATAAGAGGATTGAAACCATTTGTTAATAAAGGGGCAGTCATTATGTAACATTTAGAAAAAGTTCGTTGATAATAAAATATCCACCTCTTTATGTAGAATCGTCGTTATTATTCAATATGACTAGTATCTCATCGTTTATCATAAGTGAAAAACAAGATTATGTCTGGGATTTTAGTCAAAGAATGTGATACAAGTTGATGTAGAGTCAAGGTGATAATGCCAGTAACAATTCCTTACAAGATTATATAATACCATATGATCTTGCGTTCACTAATCTTCTGATTGTATGATTTGTAGAAATGGGATGTGGTATAGCTTAGAACCTATGCTGGTTGTACGAATGTAAATGTTTACTATCCTATTCGCGTTTTAATCATTGAACGGCCAAATACAGTGAAAAGTATAGAATTAACTAATCGTGCCATTCGTATAACTTGCATTTTCAGCTTGTTACTTGTGCTAGTATAGTCTGTCATTCATACATACTAGTTTGTCGGACAAGTGTGTTTGAGAACATGCAACTAGGTCCTTGTATGTAACATTTGAAGTGAAAAATGTATTTTGGACAGGACCACTTTGAGGTAAAAATCATTTGGTTGAACTATTTAACGATGGGGAGACATGTTCCAGTAACAGCGCTCAGTAAACAAAATGATTTAGATAGCTCTTACCTATCTTAGAGAATAGATACAATCGATACACATGTCTTTTATTTAAGGGGAGGTTAAAACAGAGTATTAATTACAAACTTTTTTGTTTTAACTATTCTTATTACAAAATATTCAATTATGCAACACTAGGTGTCACTTATGTTGTGTTCACTTTATAGGCAAAACAAAACTAATACTTATTAAAAGCCCCTTTCTCCTTTTTCTTCCGTTATAAACAGACCCTATTTAGGACTAATCATAAACTTAACTTCTCAGAAAGTGGTATGAGAGACTCGAGTCTAAGGAATGTCATGCCTGACTCATAGAAACCATGTTATTAACTGCAGATTAGAGCTTCCAATGTGCCTAAGAGATCGATAACGGAAATCCAGATATCCTGGGCCGTTTGTGTATGCTATTTTGGTCACACATCTTTTGGTCAGTGTGATTCATTCTACAAACGTACAGATATCCAGCCCATGACAAATGGTGCAGAAACCTATCAATCTCACACTAAATATGGCTACATTACCGGGTTCCTTCAAGAAATTAAGTGTTGCGGAAAAGAAAGCTGATGTTATACTCAGTGATAGCATTCAATAATTTTGTTAAGAACTCATGTAAGGTTTTTTACTCTTATTTATTAAACAAGGAAGAATTACTCAAAGATCTATTAATTCATTTTGTAGTGAGAAATACAATATGACTAGAGACATGAGTGTAAATGAAACTTATCAGTATAAGTGTTGAGGAGATAGTACAGTAAATTTTCATTATCAGTTGTTTCGTCACATTTAAATGAGATTTTATCTGAGAATGAGAGAAGTATTAGGTATATAATAAGTCACTGAGAATATTATCTTGTATATTTTGAAAATTGTAAATGAAAATATAAGAAATTAATAAACGGATATATAGATATACATGTGCTTTAAGTTTTGATGACTTAGTTTTCAATGTTAGAATGTACTTAAACCAAGTACGTAACTTGTATCAGAAATAAGTTTTCATGTAAGAAAGGGTGTCTTAGTAACCACTTGGCTTATTTCCAGTAGCGCTTTGTTAAGCTCTTCAACGTGGACATGATTTTTTGAGGTCTACAAGAAAAAAATAAACCACTTCAAATTATGGCAATTATTGATTTAAAAATCAGAGATTTACCAACTATGATAAACAGTAGCTCTCCCCAAAAATATGAAAATTGTTTTCAAATGTCAAGGTTATATTCCACAAGATAATGAGTAAACAATAAAAGAAACAAATGAGATAAAATCTTTTCTTTATTTAGTATCTAAGTAATGTGATCTTTAAATCCGAAGCTTGAGACCTACAGAACATTGGCTTAAATAATACTTTAGAATAGATATGACACTTCTATCTTAAATTGTATCTAGGGAACTAATTGACAAAAATAAAAAATGAGTTTCGGCGTAATATCAGGTCTCGAGCAAGCATCCCATCAAATAAAGAACAATAATAAGTATACTTTTGTTATATCCTAATGAGTAGAAAAATTGTATTTCTAACGTTGCGTGACTTAATTTAAGCCACTTCTTCAGAGTAAATCAAGAACATTGACAAGGTGTTAGTTATGACAGATTAGAAGAGGGATGTGGGTGGGTTCTAGGTACTTAAATCTTAAAAGGTTTATTCTCTGTTGAACTCAGAGTAAAAAATAAAATCCGTTATCAGCAGTAAACTGGCGCACGAAGAATAGCGTTCACTTTTAGACTAGGTTAGATTGGTATGTGAGCCTCTCTAGTGCCGTGATTTAAATTGGTGACAATGACTAGTGCTTAGTTGATTCTATTATATACTAATAAATCCAAACAAATAAGTTGCGGACTATAAAAAGCACCTAATGATACAGATGCCCGGACAATGTTTAAACTGAATGGGTTTACAAAAGAGGTGAGTGCAAACAAATAACATAATAACGAAAAACAACTAGGAATAAAGAGAATGGAATAATAATAATGATAATAATAATAATAATAATAATAATAATAATAATAATAATAATAATAATAAAGTGGATTAAACGTCAGGGATACGTGTAATAGCTCAATTATATTGACGCATTACGACAGAAATTTCAGGCTAAGCGTCCAAAATGATTGACAGCAACATAAACTACCGAATATTAGTAAGTAGTATAGTGTAATACATAAATAATGGTTTAACAAGTGTCATACATTTTTTAACATATCTCGAATCACCGAACATGCGTTAAGGACAACTAGCAAACTCTATCACTATCATACAATTATCAATATAATTTACAACTAGATCACAAATCACTGCATAAACTTTTAACTTCAAAGGATGTGCTGTTGTTTTCAATTGACTGAATAGTCTAACAATTGTCGATTTTGACTGATTTAATAGCCCATGTGGATAAACACGAACTCTAGTGGGATTGTTGGTTTCCAGCTAACATTGAATTCAAGATAGATTATTCTATACGATGCATACGAAGAAGTTAATTTCGCCCGAGCGTCCCAACTCTCATTTCTAAGCAAATTTTACTTAATACCAGTCATATTAATCCAATCAGATTATTAACTATTTATCTATCTGATAAATAAATTCAGTGAGAACTGTATAAAGGATATGCTTCATCATTAAACTACAAAATACATATCTTAAGTTCTCCCATTTAATCAAAATAGTGTCAAAATGGCAATAGACATTGACGGAAACAGATGGCACTTGGTTCATAAAATTTTGTAAACCAAAGAGGTCGAATCAGATATTAGGGAAAAACTTGAATTGAACTTCATCACTTCATTGAAAAAAGTAAGATTTTCACAAGTTTTATTAATTTTTATTACCGTCTGAAGCCTTTGTTCTTCTAAATTGATTTGTTCAACAATAGAGGAATTTTCTTGGGCAATTTCGGATAACCGGGTTCTCAAATGTTGTCGTTCAGATATAAATGAATCGTTCTCCTTTGTCTTGTTGGCGATATCAGCTTCACGTGTCTAAAATGAGTAAAGCGTGATAGAGAGGATTATACACAAAACATACATGATATACGCAACGCGTGACATAAAATTATCAGGTCTCTCGGAATTTCTTTAAGTACAAAGATAAGCTTCATTTTAAACTGACTATAATAAATTAGATTTATTACTGGAAAATGTTTTTTATATTGAACACGTGGATATAACTATCTTGCTGCTTAATATTCTGAAAGCTCCGCGAATCACACTTAATCGGTTGGTGATGAGCGTTATTAAATATGGATTGTGTCGCTGGAGTGTAAAGTACTTTAGCAAGATCGTATCTGTACACTGCTAAGTAATGACATGTCTGAAAGTAGAGATATTTGAGTATTTTTATGTCAGTGACAATGTAGGGTATGTAACCAATATTTAAAATGCCAAGAGTCAGAGAGCACATGTCTATCTGAGTTACCTCTGGTACCATTAAAGCGTTGGTCTAAACACAAGAAGTCGAAAGTAAGAGTCCTTAGGTACGATCAGTTCAACACAACTCTTGTGAAACCTGGGCTCTACCGGATGTAACATTTGATGATTATCTATCACGATATTCATCTATTGACTCACAATACGTTGATAATATAATTTCTTTTATTCGATGCATAGTATCCTTGTCTTTTTGAACAACGATGGAAGCGTGTCTGGGATGCGCTTTTCCCCTTCAAATACGAAGTGTTACACAGTTGCGTCGGACAGTGGTTACTGCTCAATGAGCTAGAACACCGCAAGACCCATATCTAAATGTATTCTAGTTATAGAAATTATCTGCTGTTGTTACACAGTCAGTCAGCTATACATGAGCGCTTAGCATTCTGAAGGTCGGAAAGTTTTCTATAAAACTCACTTTTTCTTCACTTGGACTGTAGTTAGTATGAACGTAGGCAGTGACGACGAAGAGGTATCTCGTGTCTCTATCTTTTAGAGTACTTAGGGTCCCTTTCAGTAGGACAGTGAACAAGTGGCTGTCTGCCGAAACTCAATGTAGAAGAGCCTCTTCTGCTTTCGAACTTAGTTCTACACCGACGCTAGTGAGGATGTAAGGAATGGTAGTCCTTATGTGAACGAAGAATAAATTGTCTTGGTCCTCTATATTCAGTAGGTGAGATCAAGTGAATGACCGACCACATCTGGATCCTGTGTGTTTCGGAGACGAAGCATATGAAAACGGCACGAGCTTTAGGGTTCGAGCTAGTGAAACTTATTATTGGGTTTGACATAAAATTCGGAAATTGAACGTTTTGACATGCAGTTTAGAGAAAGGTTTCAGGAGACTATGAATAACTTTTTGTGGACTCCAATGGTTAGTATTTGTGGAGGGTAGGGAGACAGTTGTTGATAGAGATAGAAGAAATTTGGAGCGATGAAGGGATCTGAACGTAAACAAGGCAACCTCGAGTGCTGTTAAAGATGTGTAGTCAAAATACTATAGTAATAAAAAATTGTTACAATTGAAATCACATACACACTACTAAAACTGTATTGGTAATCATAAATTTTACTTGGAATAAAGGAGGTAACAAACATGTACAATTCTTTATCATAATCACTTAATCGAAATAATTAATCCCTCATATACCGGTAAATACTCTTATTAAGAGATGGTTACATTGTTGAACTAACAAGGTACAAATGTTTTGAGTTTTGTATTTTAATGGAAAATAATCAGTACAAACTAATCACAGGTTTCATGTAGTAAGATTTTCAATAGTGTTTATATTCTAGTGTCCGAAGACAATAACCGGTCAAACTAAGAAGAAATAAACGGAGTGAATTTCGACTATACAACACGACAGTTAAAAGGTTGATAATTAAGCAACTGTGCCATTTTAGCAAAAACAATATTATAGTCCAGTACTTTGGAGAAAGATAAGCAACATACTTATACAGACACATCAGTTACGGATTACCTTTTTCTTAGTATTCAACAATACTTTTTTTCGTACTAGTTGTGATCGATATTCCACCAAGTGTTGTTTAGCTTCATTTAACGAAATATCCATATTTTTCAAATCTGTAGTTAGAACATCAATTTTACCTTGAGTACTCTAGAATAAAAAGCAGTTGGAAATTGTGCTTAAAAATACAGTACAACAATTATCAAAAAACACATTAGAGACAAAACAATGTTAGGGTAAAAATAACATTCAGCATTAAAATCTCAAACCATTGTTGAATTCATAATAAGGTGAATGAGATAAAAATAATGTATTTGTATTCATTTCCTAATTGATATAGGAAATTATTAATAAATTTACGCATTTGTGGTAAATGACCATGAAGATAAAATAATGGGTTGGAAAATTATTTAAATTTAGTCGCTTCATATAAACACTAGTATGGTACTTATAACCTTATCATCATTGTGTAAATTACGATTTATAATGTGACATGAAATAGAAAAACTGTCAATATTTACTCTTAATCCTGTTATACTACACTACGTGACATTATACCTATGACACCAGAAACAAGGTAAATAACATGATAACCATTATCAGAAGTTACAGCTTGTGCTAAAAAAATTTCTCAAAAATTTGAGTATCTCATTTTATCAGAACGCTTACTAAGTTCATAAACACATGTGACTAAATAGTCCGGAAACAAAAGAGATGTTTTAAATGATTCAATGAAATCATAGTAAATATTACTGAGTTCTTAATATGTGGATATTTGGGAATTGGGTTACATTTGAGCATAAATAAACATTTTCTTTACTTGGACCATTTTACTTATGATCCGACAAAGAGAAATAAAGTCAAATAAGTGTTATGGAGTTAAAAATATTTTGTAACCAACTACTGATTACACGTTCTGACTTATTCCATCGATCGAATTACGCAAAATTTGGAGTATAATCTTCTCTACAATATAAAGGCTTTAAATGTAAAAAAGACAATCAATACCTTTCTTTTAATAAAACCTTACCTTCTCTTGTTTTTCACATGATTCTAGTTTATCCATCACCACATAGCCCTGGTCCATTGCTGGTTTCAATTCTGACTCCAGTAAACACTCATAGCTTTGAAATGTTATATTACGATCCACAATGTGATTAAAGGCTTCAAATAATCTATGCATATCTGATTCGATTGAATCAAGTTGACACTTTACTCTTGAAATTGATTCAGGTAACATTTCACAATTTTCAAGTTGATGGGATCTAGTATTTTCATATTCTTCGAGTAAAGTTTGAAGTCGTTCGCGAGAAGACTCTATCTAAAATGATGTAGAATCGATAACTAGTAATTATGATATCAGAGTCATTACCAAGGTTTGATTTGATAATTTCAAAGAAATTGAGGATTAGGTTGATTATGATAAAAACAGTGATATTTTTATTGAGTAGATAATTTCCGAGGTTTCGTGGCTTAGTGTAAGTTGCTTTGCCAGAGGATAAATAAATAATCAAATGAAAATAGTATGAAGGAATAGAGCAAAATATCTCATGCCATCAAAATAAGTTTGGACAAGTCAATGTTATGTTATGCTGGTGATTGACCTTTCTCGGTTGTACAGATTTTGGAAGGAAATGAATTAGTAATGACGTTTTTTTACTTCGGAGAGTGACTAGACGGTCGACAGTATGGCTTAGACCTTAACTTCATACTTGCTGCTTCTAATTTAGCCGTTATCCAGCTTACCTACTTCGGATGATAGGACTCCGAGAAGTCAGTAAGTCAATCGCAACGCAGAACTTGGTGTACATGAGTCTTTTGAGTAAAACAGTAGGTTAAACCACCACGTTAAGGTAGGAGCTACGGTTGTACAGAATGGAAATAACCCAAGCATAACCTAGTATTGATACTATTCAACAAATTGTGATAGGTATCTCTTTTATTCATTTTAAACCTTAATCAATGTTTAGATCTCCGCTTCGCTCTCAAGCTTAGTAAATTCCTCTTCAGCTGTGATACAAAGTGTGAAAAACCGGATGATACACATGTCACACACACGTCAATGATGATATACTTATTGGACAAACGGGTGAGACGTAAATAAGTACCAACAAACATAAACTTATAAGAAAACTCTTGAAGTTATTTTAAGTTGGTACAGAGATTCCATATCTTCCTAAAATACTAAGCCCCCAAATGCCCTGGTACGGCCGAGGGTGGGGAGATTCAGCTATCCCTCTCGAAATTCCCTCATATAGCCACGCGTATATAGCCTCTGCCAGGGAAGTACTACACACTGCCTTCTCGTGGCGGGGGTGTTGTTTACGAAATTGAGAGGATGAAAAGCAACTGTCCGGTGCTTTAACTGAGTTTGTGGACATAGCGAGTTCACTTAGGGGAGTTGGAAAACCCTTATTCCAAACCAATGGTGCACATGGGCTCCAGTATCCTGAGGGGACAAATGGAGTATGAACCAATCGTTGGCCACGGGCCACCACGGGACTGCATCTCCTAACGATGCTCCACTGTCTTGTGGATCAGACCTTCAGGTCGAAGGCTCCGGGTGTGGCCCCCTAAGAAAACCACCTGCTTCGGTTTGGGCACCCGGGCAGTACCACAGCCCTCACACATATCAAATGAGATTTGTGTGGCGCATATCTATTTGGTGCCTCCTTACACCAATATCTGTGTTAAAATAAATAAATAAAATACTAAGATTACTTTCTAAAACTGAGGAATGTATTCGTGTCAACTGTAAGAGTCGGGCTAAAATAGCAATACTATAAACAATAAATGAAGGTGGATATTTCTTAAATTCATAAATCGACAAGGGAATTGAATTTTACAGTGACTATTTACAAAGTGCATCGCTGTTATCCTTGAGACAAACCATAATGAGTCATACAGTTGGATTTGATGACCATCGTGATAACTTGAAGGTGGATCTTTTTAGACGAAGTTGACAACCAAACAACCTGGCATAGTAGTGTTTGTAGGTATCATTACCAAGGGTTGACTTGATGTCAAATAAATTGAGCGTTATGTAGACTGCTGACGATAAATGTAATGATATATTAGCAATATTCAAATGAATGTTTGTTTTCTACTCATTGATATACCACGAATATATTACTACTTTTGTTATTAACCTACTATATGCTAATTGCTGAAGTATAAATTCCTAAATATACTATGATGAGAACCTACCTGTTCTTTCTTCTGTTCAGTTGAAGAAACTAGGGACAATAATAAATTTTCTGCAGATGACATTTTCTTATTCTTCTCATTGAAACGATGCTTAATGTCGTACACTTCCTTTTCAAGGTCTTTAACAATGTTACGGCGTTTGGATTCAGCATCTCGAAGTGTGTGTAATTCATGTTCCCGGGATTCCACCAGACTTAAGAGCTTTGCATAGTTGCTTTTTCTTTCTCTTGCTTCGTCAACCATCTTGAAAAGGAAATACGTGTAAAGATCTCAATTACCTCTAGAATCTCAGTGTCAGCACATTCAAACCAAGAGATTAAGCATGAAAGAAAATGTATCCATTTTCGCCGGTCTCTTTTATCTCGGGAAAAGTTACTCAAAGTGAAATTTCCAGCATATCCCAGGTTAGTGGCGGTCATCATGAATAATTTCAAAAAGTAAACTTTCGTGAAGTTTGACGATGGTATATCATAAATAGTACAAAGAAGCTGCCATAGTACTTCATCCATATACTCACCTTTATATATCACATTTAATCATATATATTCGAATTACCTTTATCAAACAACATATTTGGATCAACAGTCCTTTTTATAATTGATGAAATTGATCTAGCGATTTCCATGTGATTTCTGTAATGAAAAGTTTACATAAATTAGTATGTAGTGTGAAATCTAAGTTGGCGTAGAGTTGTCTTAGGATTACAGGTTGTCATATTTTAAAATCCTCAAGATGTCTGGTACCACTTGAATTTTTTGTGAGTGACCGCACGACAACAACCAGCCAAAGAAGTGGGTTTCTCACGAAATGCAAAGATTTTTAAAAAACTGGGACTAACGACTCGCACATTCGATTCAGTGAACATGGATCTTTGCAACTAACGAATGACATGTTTCCAAGGTAAAACAAAACGTGAAACACTTCAGCTAGCTTCGGGAAGTCCCCCTCAGATACTTTTGATGGTGTTATAGATATCATACCACATGGCAGGATATCGATAACACTAGGAACTGATAATATCACCCAGTCTCCCTGTTTTGAGGTAAATTATAGGTTTTGGGGAAAATGGCAAAAAACCACAGAATCTCCGGAACGTTTTGGGGAAAACTCTAAAATTCACCCAAAGTGTCCCGAAATAGGGAGACTAGGCATCAATCCTTATTCCAGTTTACCACAGTTAGCCGAAACTTCCAACCACAGTTAACTGGGCTTCTGGCCTTCTACAAGTTTGGTGTTATCTGTAAGTTACGAGCTATGCTAGGGGAATAAAGATTAACTCGTGAGAGTATAAAACAAAAAGTGAGTCGACGACTCGAGTCGTCCATCAGTAAGTACATATAGTGTACTTGCACGAGATAATAAAAGAGACTGACAACAATTAGTAGTAACACAACTGTAAGATTGGTGGTGTAAGATAACCAGAGATGATATGATAGAAAAAAGTTAAGAAAACTCTTCGTGGTGAGCGCGAGGTGATGAGTTTTTAACCTGTGGTTTATTAAAACACGCAACGTCGAAATTCCTAAATAATTTTGAATTTGTTACGAGCACTATTAGGGAAAATAAGCAGTGTTTTATCTTTTCGGTGACAGATATATACGTGGTTAAACGAATTGGTTACAGAAATCAGTCTTCAGTAATGAAGATAGAAGGTCTATCGACTTTGCAGTTTGTAATACTGTGGAGGTCTAATCTCGTTTTGAATATATCAACAGAAGGTGCTGACATCACGTGTTATGTTGGATAATTCCAGAGTTTCACTAATCGGCGTGGGAAACGAAACTCCAGACGTAAACGATTTGATTTCGGCTTTTGAACTTTCTTCGAATGTCCTCTCAAGTGATCAGTCTTGGACGGAAGTAAAAGGTAAAACATGTTAATACCAAGGTCATCGTTTAGTATACGATAATCCAATATTATACCACACCGTATTCTACGGTAAGATAACGGAAATTAGTTAAGGTGTCTCAGTTTGTCTTCGTAAGATGGGCCAGATAAATCTCGTATCATCTTAGCATTACCTCGTTGGACTCTTTCTAGCATTTCTGCTTCGCACTTGAAACAAGGACTCGCTGCTTGAATCCAATATTCTAAATGTGGTCTCACATAAATGGGGTATAATAACCTAAAACTTTCATCGTCCAAATACTGGAAAGACATACGAATAGACCATAATACCCTATAGCCTTTCACAACAGCAGCCTTACAGTGACTAGTGGTTTTGAGATCACTGCTTAATATGACTCTTAAATCTTTATAGTTTCTTACTTTGGGTAGCACGAATCCACCTATTTTGTAGTGATACGATTCATCATATTTATTTACATCACTACACTCTTATTAAGATTTACTTCCAGTGACCACCTGTCCAACCATGCCACCAATGTGCTAAGATCATTCTGTAATACTATCCTATCCGACACACTGTGTATGGGCCTCCAAATCTTTATGTCATCAGTGAAGAGTAGAACGGATGATTTCGCTACAATTGGTAACTCATTTACATAAAGTGAAAAGAGAAGAGGACCGAGGATTGTATCTTGGGGAACTCCACTTTTTACAGGTACCCTCGAGGAGTGGGCCCATTTACCCTTACCCTTTGTCTCCTGTCACGGAGAAAGTTACTTATCCAACCTACGACTGTATAATGGGTTCCAAAACGTTCCAGTTTGGATTTAAGACCAGAATGGGAGACTTTATCGAAGGCATTACTCAGATCTATGAACATCACATCCACAGGAATATTCTGATCTTTTTCAGCAGCCCCATCTTCTCTTGCAATGAGAAGATTTGTCAAGCATGGTAGGCCTCTCCGAAAACCGTGTTGTTCCCTGGGGAAAACATTATGCCCTTCAACATAGTTTATAACAGATATCCGAATGATTTTTTCCATCGGTTTTACAACTGCACTGGTTGAGCTAACGGGTCTATAGTTGCTAACCGAACCCCTACTCCCAGCCTTATACACCGAACCTATTATAGCGTCTTTCCAGTTTCTGGGCGGTCTGGACTGCCCTAGAGACATGTCAAACAGATTCGCTAATGGTCCAGCAATTACATCTGATAAGGCTTTCATAATCCTAAGATGAATATCATCAGGACCACTGGACTTGTCAGGTTTGAGATGCTGAAGTAGCCTTAAAATAGTACCTTTCTCAATGACTACAGGGTCCATCAGCGAGCCGCCGCGATCACAGTGAACCGTTGTTCGTTCCTCATTACCGATCGAAAACACTTTACTGAAATATTCCGATAAAGCTTCAACTTTTTCGGCGTCATTTTCTGCAAAGACTAACGCATTTTCTTGTACCAAGAGTGATGGAATTCCATCGCTTCTCTGAGTTCGCCTTTTTAAATACGAGAATAACCGTTTCCGATTATATCTAGAATCCCTAACCAATTGTTTTTCATATGATCGTCTAGTCTTACTTATTAACGCTTTACAGGCATTCCTAATCTTACAATAACTGGATCTGTATTGTTCTAAGCCAGTAGAGATGAACATATTTCAGTGATTCTTCTTTTTTCTAAGTTTCCTGACTGCTTTCGTCATCCATGATGGACTGTTATCCGGTCTTCGCGGTACCAGGTATGGTATGAACGAGGACGTAAATAAACTAAACTTACCGTTAAATACAGACCATGCTTCTTCAACTGATAATCTAGTATCTACAAAACCAATCTGTCTTAGCAGCGCATTCCTGAATGGCTGATAGGTTAGCTTTCCATACATTTGGGCGATGTGTAACCTGATCGTATAACATGTCCCTAGTTCTAAACATGAATGACAAAACATTGTGATCGCTGTTCACTAATGGTGGAAGAATATTTAGGTCGACAATACCCTCAATATCATGAGTGATTACCAAGTCCAACAGAGAAGAGCCTTGGTTAGCACCAAAACGTATGGGCTTGGATACATGCTGCACTAGTGCATGCTCCATTATTGTCGCCAGGAACCTACTATCGAAGGAGTTTATAGATCCTTCCGTGGTCATCTCAGTCCAACTAATATCAGGTGCATTAAAGTATCCTATCATCAAACATCTGGAATTTGCACTCCAAAGATGAATGTGCTCTAAAATAAAGTCATCAGCTAAGCAGATTGGGCTGCAATAGATGACACTGAGCATAAATGTACTGCATCCGATAGCCAATTTACAGCTAATGACTTCACAAGGACCACTATCATGGGATTTGCTAGCAGATAAGCGGATATTTATATTATTGGCTACATATAACAGGACGCCACCTCCTTTTCTACATTTATGTCTCTCACTGCTTGGGTAATAGTATCCGGATAATTATGGACTGATGTATAAGCCATGGACTGTCCAAGATTCTGTCACTGCTATGATGAGTGGTCTTAATCTGTCCACTAATACTTCTAGTTCATAGAACTCATTTCTTAGACTACGAGCGTTGGCAAATAAAACTCCTAGGTAGGACGGCCTATCCACACAGGCCTTGACAGCATTCGTTTCCAAGATCTGACTATCCGAAAATCCACTAACCGGAGATTTTCCTGACCGTTTTGCCGACGGGTTTCTAGTTCAACTAGTGCCTTCTTCCTTTTTATTATATATTCAATAGATATATCAGGTTTTATTCGAATGTCGGAAGTGTCGTGACTACGAGCGCTACTTAACAGGAGATCCCTTTGCTTCTCCGATCCTAGAATTACCTTAAGGAGTTTGCATGGTCGGGGTTCAGCATTGTCCTCGATCCTCTTGTCTATTCTAACCAGTTTTTTGACCTGAACTCCTTTAGAGTTATCTAGTAAGATACTACGAATATATTCTCCCAGCTTCTCTGAATCATGCGCGTGTCTAATTTTGGGATCAGGGTCGTTTGATTCCAGCGATTTGCTCACAATAATATTCGATGATATTTGATTCTTCTTCTCAGTCACGCCAGGGTAAGTTCCTCTCTTACTATCAGATTTTGGCAGTGCATTTTGTGACTGACAATGGGAGTCCACCAGTGACTTGCTAACCACCTGCGTACTGCCTACAGCTTTTTTCCTTTTGTTTCGTTTTTTCCGTACTATAGTCCATTTTTCATCCCTCAGGACACTGGGACTATTTGGAACGGTGACGGTTTTATCCAGATCATCAGTTTCTACTAGAGGTGCATGGTTACCAATGTCAGTGTCAGGTGGTACTATCCCCTGGTTAATGTTAACGGGATTTCACTTTTCCGTCAGTCAAAGTCGGGTGTTTGAGGCGTCTCGTAACAGCAGGTACTACACTGACACATCCGTCACTGTCAGTGCTCGTGTTATCACGGCACGCTCCATCGTTTTCTTACAGGCCAAAGCCGATAGGCTCATACCCTTCTGTATTAGTGACGTCTTATTTGCACATCAAAACATGCAACGCTAATGTAAGGCTTCGAACATCTTTTGTATGCGGTGGGACTTAAACGAGTGCACATCTTATGGGACCACTTTTTGCATTCGTCACACTGCATTCCTTCCTCCACAGGGAACAAACAGTTCGGTTGTCCATATTTATGAGTACCTTTGATGCAACAAGTACACAAAATCAAGGATAATCACAACAAGTACAAAATCACTGCCCTTTTTGAAACACGCACGAAGATAATGTCACTATGACCAAGACTAGTGAGTT